TATTCTACAAAAATAAACGTAAACAATTCTAACCAGCGCAGAAATTCTTCATCCTGTCGACATCTTCCTCAGTCATTTCCTGAGATATTTCGTCCAGTACAAGGTTTAATTCCCAGTCCAGTGAGGGGAGGTCACTCTGGAGATCGTACTTGTCCACGGCGCTGCCTTCGGCTGCCACTAGTTTAAAATAGTTAATTACATATACAATCTACATATGTGTTGTTCTCCTTTGCTTGGAATGTGATGTCTGTGTAGTCTACCATTAAGTTTGGTTATCCGTGTCAGGTTTATAAATCTATTTACGCCACGCTTTACTGTATATCAGAACATCGCATAAAACATAACAAACCGTCTGTTTAAAAGCATGCATTATATACAAAATTTATATAAAAAGTTACATTGGTGCATTTCTCCCTTCCCAATAACTAGTAAATATATATAATATTTCATACTCAACAATGATCAAATGAATGTTTAACTAATCTACCACATTGTATAACACTAAGACAATCTAATTAGAAATTAATTAATTAAAATCCATTAACCTCAAGACCGCTCTCTTACCTACACTGGGCGTAGGTAACGGAGCGGTGTTTAGAGGTATGATTTTAATTAGATTGACACTAAGGTAGCTGAAAGTCATACTGTCTAGGAAGATTTAGTTCTGCCCATTAGCATTTCACGCCTTTATTTCTTTTAAGGAAAGCTGATTATAAAATTGCATCACTTACTTGCGGAGTTGGCTCCTGAAACCAACTAGAAATATATCAATCCATTTGTGCTACAATATATATCTGAAACAGTAAATATCGCAACATATGGAACAAGTAATAAAATATGCAACAAGTCATAATGTCTCTCTCACCACATGTGGAACCAGTCATGATGTCACCACATGTTGAACCAGTCATTATGTCTCTCTCACCACATATTGAACGAGACATGATATATCTCTTACCACATATTGAACAAAACATGATGTCTCTTACCACATATTGAACGAGACATGATGTCTCTCTAACCACATATTGAACGAAACATGATATCTCTCTCACCACATGTGACACCAGTCATGTTTCCTGATTCTTTGTGTATACATACTGGTGATCAGTTGAATCGTTTTATATTTGTTTGGTTTGGTAGTACAACATACTATTACACATCAACCGTTTTCTTTTCATTAGGGGAGTAACGTCATCATTATATATGCTGACCTTGTGATTCCTATACCCTGGCTTGAATACAGATAAATATTGATATTCTGTCGTAGATAAAAACAGCGTCAATAATTGTTGCTTTGGTAAAATGCAAACGGACAAATCACTTCAGAGCTACAAATATATGTATTAATGTACGTCATCCGTAGATACTATAGAAATCTGTACCACTGGGGATGATTAACTAATCAATGATAATTTGCTAAAATATACATGGCTATATTGGAGACCAGATTTCTTTCATTTAACAAAGTGTTGATACTATAGTGACATGCACAATTTATATACTTTTGCATTATTTTATTGTCGGTAAATTTTAAAATGTAAAAACATTTGGTCTGTTTGGCAATTAACTTCACATATATTACTACAATAGCTATCGTGTGTTATCGGGTTTACATGTTCATCGACACGAATACAATATGTAATCTCACTTAATAACCTCGATGTTTATGTCACGTGACTAACTATTTTACTATATTTTGTGGTTTGAATATGTCAAAAGAGAGAATGTTACAAAATCGATTGCAAGGCCCTCCCAACGAAAAACACCACTTGTAGTTACCCACCACAGCTATCAAAAATCATTTGTTAAATCAATTAATGCTGGAACACCCTCGTCATTCGGATACACCACTACCTTAAATTTATCTATACAAGCGAATACAGTTTATTTGTTAATACATTTGTATGCAATTTATATAGTGATAATATTGAACAGGTAGTTCAAGATCTAGCTAAACAAAATATCTCAATTATATATATATGCATAAAAGCTAACCACAGTTTTACTTCCCGGTTTACTTATATTATCTAGATCATCGTATATGTAGAAAAAAATACAAGAACGAAATTTCGTCGACACCCAATAAACACAATGTTAGTTAAAAACAACATCGGCAAACGAAAAATATATAAAAAAAAATATCACCATGTTGGTAAAGATACATTTATATTATTTTAAAAGACTTCATTCTGATATACCTTAGCTAATTACACAAGGTATTTGCAGCTGGTGAGATTCGAGCACTAAAAACTACGAAAGGAACAGAACTATATATTTAACAACACCACGATTTCTCAGTAGTCGATCAATCAAACAAATAAGTGTGTGTCTTAAGGTAAAGTAATAAACGCAAAACACTTACCTATCAGTCTATCATTGACGTCCATCGTCCATCATATGTTACCGGGTTGTGTTATTAGTAACTGCATAAGAGTTAAATAATCTATTTTTAGATTCTGAATAGGTGCAGTCACATATGTAAGCATGGCGTGTGTATTGCCCCGGAGTTCCCAGTATTTCGAACGTATACTTTTGTTGCAAAGGCTGTAATGTGTATAATAATTATTGTCTCTATTAAAATCTATGTAGTTCTACAAGAACAACGCCACTCGAAGTGAACCCCATTGTAGGGATACAAACAAAGGCAGTGATTCAGTGATTTATAAAATATATAATGCATTGCGCCTGCAATCTATATATATGATGTGTAAATAGGTTTAACCATGTATGCCTTTGGAAACGTTGGAAAAACCCATATTTCTCCCAATATTTGAACAAATAATCTACGGAATTTGTCACTCTTAACATTATAACATTATTAACGGGGGAAAAAACCACGAATTTTTTCTAAGTTATTCTTGAACTTTGAAAATAAACGTTAATTTATATTGTTTTGGTATACTCAAGTCGTTTGGTCGTACTGTATCGGCAAGCATGTGTAACTCTGGATAAATGCTACCATATCTATAACTATGACAACAACTTCGGACCATATCTGTAACTATGACAACAACTTCGGATCAAATAGGTTTGGTTTGCATTCAATATACTTCGAGATCCCCAAGTTATTCCGATGAATTATCTACACTGCATTTTAGTAGATTATTGGCATATCGTTCAAATCATTTTACCTTTTGGACACCATCGGATGGAAGGTGTGATGTTAAAAATAATTGTACATACTTATTATTTGGTATTGTTATATAAACAAAGAGAGCTTAGAAACAACATGTCTACCAAACCACCCTCCATCTCTCTCTGTTGTCGCCTGAGACCCACACATGTAACGGTTAAACCTGATTTATGATCCCTCCTCCGTGCGTCACCAGATCTATCTCCACGCGATCCCCGGTATACTTACAGTTTGTTCATGTCACTTGGTAGACACTACAGGAGTTTCTAAGTGAAGATGAAGTAGCGAAATATATTAACGTCCTATCTAAGGTTAGTCAGTGCCCGTTTATACCTCCCAAATTTATCAAATCATTTTTATTAGATGCATTGATCTGTAGAACGTGACATTTGCATTATTTTCACGAGGAGCTAAACATATATGTTCATTTTATGTGTGCAGAATAGAACGTTAAATCAACAGAAATCTTGATCACGAGAGGGTTATAAATCGAAGAATATTAAAACGATAATCAAACTAAACTTGAACACATGGCTAAGGTTTTATATTTAATCGGTCTTTCTATAATTGATTTACTTCCTTGAGAAACTAAAAGATTTCTGTAGATTTAAAATACCATTCTTTCACACACGTACAAAAATGCACTATATACAGAATGCCCCAAACATACCAGTCATACAGAAACGCTAAACATGCAGATCATTGTGTTACATAGCTTATAAATACTAGGAGAGACAATTGAAAGTTGTTAAATATGTCATGAAATAGTTTATAATTATATTTAAACCCAAGTAAAGTGGAGAAACACAAACACACATAAACCTTCACTTGTCATTGGATTTTTCACCTCTTTTCATTAACATACAATATTTTTTCAAGCAGAAACAAGAATGGCCATAATAGGTAATGAACTGGGAATAATGATTTGTTTAACAACACAATAATGTCGAAATATCAATTACTTGTTAAAATATCAATTACTTGCTAAAATGTCTCTAAAATTACTAGGGTCACGTGACAGCATTTAAATAACAACATTGAAGAGCGTGCCAATTACATGTAGTATAACTAATTAACATTACCGAATGTTAGTTTGTTATTTCTACAGGAAGGTATTTCTTTATGTATCATAAAGAAAGTATGTCACTAAAGGAATAAACATCTATTGTTTACACTGACTACAATAACAAGTAAAACTAACTCTTAACACTTCGAATGCTAATTAGATTATCCCTCTATATCTCAGTAAAAGTATTCAGTTATCATTTAAATGATTATTCTCTGTTTGTTTATAAATTGTTATTAACAACAACTTACATAGATCTCGAAAAGAAAGGTTCGTTTACGTTTTAAGCAAAAAATGTTTCTGTTAAAGATTAACTATTTGTTACACCATATCAGGTGCTCTCTGGTAACCATTGTACTTGGAAAAATAAATGATATACAGAGAGTAAAATGTTGACGTTTGTACTTACACATGTTTTATACACACAAATACTATCTTATGTTAAGCGATTACTAACTATTCCACTAGCTCTTCTACCCACATAACCCACAACGGTACAAGCTTTAAATGTCTTTCGACTTTATCCAAATATTTGGAGATTATATCATACAGTCTCTGTCTAATGTGTTATGAGATGTCCCTCGAGCGAGTCATGTTCTTTGGACTAAAAATCTACAAGTCATTATTATTTATTTTATTTACGTGTATATATCGTTATACCATATTGGTAGTTTCTAGTATTAAGATAACCGAATACAATCGATTTTACGACAATATTTGGCACGCTTATAGGGGGAAATAGGTACACGTTATAGTAAAGTGGAAATGTTAAGTGCAATGGGACCATCAGCAAAGTTTGATTTCATGAAATGTTTGATAGTGAGATGTAAGGTATGATATTTCACTTTTTCAACGTTGGTACAAATGTACATGTATAATCTTTAGCAGTTACCTTGCTCACCTTTAGCGACAGAACAGGCGTATGTGCACCAGCCTGAATTGTAATATCTACAATCCAGGTAACATACCGTACATGTTGGTATAATGTTTTCATTTGAATGTACATGTTGATGTTAAAGAAAAGAACAACGTATGCGCGTGTATTATGGTGGAATATTTAACGAGGGTGAGAAAATGTTGGAACAATAATTACATTGCGATTGAGGTGATTATTGTTCCAACATTTTCGAATCTCAATATATATATATTCCACCATAATATACAAATACGAGTTGATGATATCTATTCTACCAAGTAGATTGTTATGAAAGCCTTGTTTGCCTACCCCAGTGTCCATACGCCTACGATAAGCATATATGGTGACCATCATTGGAATTGGACTGTTTGCGCGCGCTTACATTTGGCACGTAATGCCTGTCTTTATTTCACAATACAAATCGCGTTTTATCATTTTTGACCCTGTGGACAGTTGTCCTATTTTTTTCTTTGTAACATTGATATATTTTTGAGAAGGACAGTTCATTTTCTGTCGCAAATTGGTCGACAAAAGATAAATGATTATCACTGATGTTATGCTTTTTACCATATGTGTACATTATTTCAATCAATCAAATCCAGCAATCTATCGATATTGCTCGTCAACATATGAAACCAAAATTTGACAGATTTAAAAATTCGGCGGAACATTCTGACCGCGAGCTTTACAAGTTTTAAGAAGATCTTAAGGTTCGATGTTTTTGTTTGTCCGCTAGCAAATCTTCAAATTCATAGAAAAGATAAATACGGGTAACTGAGACTAGTCCCATAGCTTGCTTGTTTACATTGGCTGGGGAGGCTTTTGGAAGACCGTTGGTCTGTTAGAAAATAAAGCACGTGCGTGGTCTATAGTCCAATGATACATCGGTTTAAACAAATAAAAAGTGTCATTCCATTGCAAACGTGGTGGAATGCTAGATAAAGGGTGTTCTATGTGTAGGCGTTTGTGTATATATGTGTTTTCTTTCGGTAACAACCACCCACATGCTATGTAAGTTTGTGTATTGCCAGTAAAATATAAATACTCTATTTTCAAATATATCTTACGTGTTTGCTAGTCTTCGGTTATCGGACGTATCCGGTAGTTCCCGGTTACAATGGGAGAACTCGTGCGGAGGCTTGACTACGAGCGACGAGCGAGCCATTTGTTTAAAAGTGACCCTAAAACTCGTTTTTTGACCAAAGAGTTTAGTCAACCAGTGAAATCTGCGAACGCCCTTGTTTAGAGGTCAAAGGTAAAAACACTGGCAAATTTGAGAGAGGAAATCAAATTCTATGGGATAAAACATGACCAGGAAAAGGTGGACTTGGAAATATTCCGTAAAGGACTTGGTCTAAAATCGGTCAATTTTGAAGAGTCGCGATTTCAGCAAATGAGATGCAGGTCCTCGATGGTTGTTAAGAGTGCAAATGAATTGAGTGCAGACCGGATACTGCGTACAGTGCCTAGCAACTATGTCCTGGACTTCGGACCTGGCAACAGGCCGATTTACACTACCAACGACCCAAAAAAGGTCCGCCGCACACTATCCACCTCCGACACCCAAAGTTCAAAGTCAACACAACATGGATCGTTACGACCGTCGTACAGGTCGAAATCAGCTTTTTCACGACAACCGCCAAGAAACACTGGGAAGACGCCCGTGGAAATGCGTTGTAAAAGTGTTGGCGCTGACAGACTGTCACAGTCTACCCAAAGACAGGGATATCCATTTGCCAAAGTGAACACACCAGGCGTTGTTAACCAGCAGAAAACCCCCAGACCACAGAAAACGGGCCAACTCAAAAGGCGTTCATCGTCATTATCAGATTTAGATTATGAGAACGAAAGTGTTTTTGAAGAGGAAAACGCCGATGAGATCGATGAAAATGAAAGCGAAGAATTAAACAGTAACCAAAAATCCTATCGTTTCCTCCGTGAGGAATACTCGATCAAGTCAAAAGTTCTTCCGGACACACATAAAGAGAATTTGAAACGTCTCAAAAACCTGGAGTTATCACATCTGCATGCTCTAGGAGAGCGCGTCCATAAGTTTACAGCCGGTATCCATGCCCTCGCATCAAGACGGAAGTACGTGACAACATCAACATCGCCTTTACGTCTTTGATTGTTCTACCAAGTGCACGGTGTCTGATTTGATAAAACACAATGCAACTAAAGTATTGTGACTAACACTCATACGTCGTATTTATTTATTTAATATAGCACACCAAGCAAATATCTGTGTAATTGTATGTCCAGGATTGTAATTGTCTTTCCAGAATTGTAATTGTTTGTCCAGGATTGTAATTGTTCGTCCAGGATACGGCAAGCGGTAGAAGCTAATCGAATCACTGGACACATTTACTGATTATTTCATTCTTATGCTGAACATGTCTTGAAGAAATCTGTACCGATCAGGAAAGATGTTATACAATTAACTGACAGTGCCGACCACACGTCAATTGGTAGATGCTCCGGGGTGTTTTTTTTTTATATATAATATAGATATCAACTTTATTTAGTTTACAACAATCATGAAACAGGTTATTTAAACTTACATTAATAGCGCGCAGGGTGTCTTAATGTGGGAGGAAACCGGAGTACCCGGGGAAACCCACGTGGACGGGCAGGTGACCCTATACATTTTCAAGTCCGAACGGGGAATCGAACCCCGGCCGCCTTAGTGAAAGGCAAGTGCGCTATCCACTGCGCCACCCGACCGCCATTTTTTTTTTATATTCCACAAGTGATACAATAACGAACCTACAATATACAGTTTGAATACGATTTTTTTTTTTTTTTTTACTTTGTATTATGTTATCAGTGTCTTCGGGGTAGACTTACGAAGGTGTATATATATAAGTGTTCTTATGGAATTCAAACAGTCAGGAGCACCACAAACGTTGTGATACCTTTGTTTTTTCTTGGTTTACCATTAGAATTTTATATAGTTTTAAAAAGAAAACACAGGTCAAAACAACGGCAATTTTTATTAAATCAAAATGGAGACATTTTATATTATGAATAAGACAATGAATGAAAAATTATGTACAAAATACTCGAATAGATATATCAGGTCAAAACAACGGCCATTTTTATTTAAATCAAAATTTGACTTTGTATCACATTGGTGTTTTTCCTGGTTATATTCGACTGTCTGATCGGTAAATGAAACACAACAAGTGTTTAATCTGTAACAAATATATCAACTAGGTAATTCACAACCATGGACCTTATTAATAACTACAATGGTAATTCACAACCATAGACCTTAGTAATAACTACAATGGTAATTCACAACCATAGACCTTATTAATAACTACAATGGTAATTCACAACCATGGACCTTATTAATAACCACAATGGTAATTCACAACCATAGCCCTTAGTAATAACTACAATGGTAATTCTCAACCATAGACCTTAATAATAACTACAATGGAAATTCACAACCATAGACCTTAATAATAACTACAATGGGAAGTCACAACCATAGACCTTAATAATGACTACAATGGTAATTCACAACCACAGACCTTAATAATAATTACAATGGTAATTCACAACCATAGACCTTAATAATAACTACAATGAATAACATCAAAATATCTACATAAGATAAAAAAAAAAAAACATAGGTCGTCAACTATAATAATGAACGTATTATACCGAAACTCTGGAATATCATTTATATATTTGTAATGCACAATACATCTACTGATGATAAACATTAACAGATTTTGGACACATACCTACGTTTTAGTGATGTTGTCAACTCAATTAACAATACTGACTTAACAATGCACAAAGAGTCAGAAATAGTTATTGCGTTAAATTCAACAAGTGCATGGATCTACATTATGTAACAGGTATTCCTACAAAATAGATTTAGGTTTTAACCTTCACGAGTAGGGTATGAATAGCATTTCGAAACTGTTGAAAGAAAAAAATATCTGACTGTAGCCGAAACAGCTTTTGTTAACAAATTTCCAATATTTTCCACCCTGGCTATAAATTTAAATACAAACACATCAGTAGATTATTCTTACATTGCTCTACTTTTAATGTTTTACAAAATAGATAAACTTATAAATGTTTATTTCAGATTCGCTATATTTGCACATTACGACCTTCAAGGATGTTTTACAGTGTTAATATGGTAATAAGTCAAATCATTATCATAGTATTAAAGGATAACATGAGTTATTAACAAGTTGTCACTTCCAAATGATTCAACAATATGGTAACACTTGAAAGGCACACATTCTCATCCAATTGTAACGTGTATTGCTATTACTGACCTCCTACGAGTGACTCCTACGATGTTAAAGAAAATGAATGTTTCTTTAAACCACCACAAACGGCACAAAAATTGTGTTTCTATAATCTAAAACACATATTCTTTTTGTATCAATTTAACACGTTCAGTTGCTAATGATTCTACGTTTTTTTGGGTCCGGTTCCTCGTCAAACGTCGGCTCTTCTACCAAATCTATATCTGTTTCCGAAAATTTGCTGAGATAAAGCACTGCCTCTTGTAGAATTGAGTCTTCATCCAGTTTCCTTAGCAACTTAAGGACTCGGTTTCTTATATCTTTAATTACAAATAAAACAAAGCATTATCTTGATATCAGGAATAGGTAGCTGTAACTGTTAAATCTCTGTTAGTCCACAAATACCAATGTGAGCTTACAACCATGTACTACTGACATGATGGTAAATCGATCATATAGCATTTGCTTTGGAACACAAACAATAATCGAAAATTGATATTTCTATTCGTTTTTAACTTTCAAAAACATCTGTTTACGTCAAGCAAAATATTAGATGACTCTATATATTTGACTTTGATACTATTGAAAACAAATCGCTAAACTACAATTTGCTGAGTCGCTAAGTTAGCCGTTAGAATCATATCGAGACATTTCATCCAATTATAACTCTAGTACTGTACGCAGTCAGAGGAACGGTACCATGTTTATCCATCCCGCCCTTTCTTAAATGTGAAAATGGGGTCATAAAGATAACTCAGCTGGTGTCCCACTCATCTCAACTATTCACCGTCCGTCCTAATCCAGATGATTAGTTTTCTTTTGGTGCCAGTTGTCGTCCCTTTCAATACCCGGCCAGTTTAACCGATATATGTATAATTGTAGCTCTTACATAGGATCTGGTAAACCAGTCACATTCGTTTGCTGATATGATGTTTGCGCAGCATTGTTGAAAATGCTTCAGACACTCTTTTTTTTGTATGGCATTGTAACCATACCATTAGTGTTTTCAACGTGTTGGTACTTTTCTGTTTCTTGGGGAAATTCCCAACACTTATCCTTATCGGCCATTGGGGGTATACACAGGGTCTGTTTGATATGCCACTGTTCATTTTCCATGTTTTCCTGTTCAGTTACGATGTTTATGCATCTGTCCAGGAGGGTGCGAACTACCCCCAACCCTGGTCTGTGTGAGTGTTTTTCTGTAAAACAGAAATTTGGTTGAACTCAGCCCATCTCACGATAAGGGTATCCAATAAAAAAAACACTTCTTCTAATGTTATTGTTATGGAGCCTGTATCATATGCCTAGTTTAGGTGAGGTTATTTACCTCACTTTTCTTGACTAATGTTGAAACAATGGAGTCAATCTATCTTTCCATATTTTAAGACTATACACCATCGGAGCAGTTATGATGGCTTTCAGCTCCAGATGCTCCACCAAGAGGATAGCAACAACATATGATACCGGTCTCATCATTGCTGCCCAAAACCTTTGACTTTGTGGATTAAGTGTGCCCTTAAATTAGAAATATTCGTGATGAGTATCAACTCAAACAACTCGATGATGTTTTTAACAGGAAGGCTGGTTCTCTTTCTCAGGGTTTTGTCTCCTTATGATCTTCAACCCCACGTCAAGAGGTGTATTATTGGTCAAGAGGGACACTGCGTTATATGAGTTGGAAGTGTCTTCCTCTTCAACAATGATGACAGCCAGATCCAAAGCCAGTATTTTTAGTTTTTCACGTGGTGTTCTGTTTTTCCACCAGTGAACCCAGCATGTGTGCAAGCCATCCTGATACACTAGTACTCTACCCAATGGAACCATAACAGGACCGAATGGATAGCCTGGCTTGTGGATCGGATAGTATATGCGGGGGTAGTTTTGTATATATGGTACACCTATATTATTCTTCATTGATAGTGCACTCGTTCACATCGACTAAGAAGCGGTAAACATATTACCCGTCCTTCTGACTACCTACGTATTAGAGAGTGATTTTCACTCTTTGCTTGACAAAGAAAATAGGTGTTTTCGAAAGCTCGTAAAACAAATTTTCCATGGCTGTTTAAGGTCAAAATAAACATAGAACATATTATTTATACCAAACTGACGAATTTTCTTTCCGAAAACAACGATATAGTGTTCGTTTAAGAAATATATATAATAGAATAGAATATAAAATACAATCACCGACTCTGATTGATATCTTCATAGATCAACAGTGTAAGTCAGACTTACCAACTTTTGATTTCTTTGTCAATCATCACACGAACTTAATAGTTTTGATATCTTTATAGATTAACATCTAGAGTAATCACAAACTAACCGACTTTGATATCTTTATCAATCAACACTCGGAGTAATCACATACTTACCGACTTTGATATCTTAATCAATCAACACTCGGATTAATTACCTACTAACCGACTTTGATATCTGTATAGATCAACATCCGGGGTAATTACATACTTACCGACTTTGATATCTTTATCAATCAACACTCAGAGTAATTAAATACTTACCGACTTTGATATCTTTATCAACCAACACTCGGAGCACATGATGTTTGTTTAGTTGTAGGTGGTCTAGTTCCTCGAGTGTAAAGGTGTATCCCTCTGATAACTTTTTCCTATGCTCATCCGACAAACGGAGAGAAATTTCATTCAGTACGTCATAATGACTCGATGCTCTCCGAATTCTCGTCTTGGAACCTGCATGTATAGTTTTCAAAACTTGTACCTGGCAGGATATATACATGTGTAACTATCAAAACCTATACTAGGCAAGGTATCTACATGTGTAATCATCAAATCTTACTCACGGCAAAGAATGGCATGGATGTTAAAAATACATTTGTTGTAGAAACCCAAAACCATTTATTTTATACTGTATACTAAATATCACAAGTCAGTCATCCTTACACCTTTGGGATTTTGCTAAGAGATATGGCGATGACCCCACCAGTTCAATAATGTTAAAACACGCTTGAATGTTATGATCGGCCTGGAACACATGTCAAGTGGGGAAAGTAACAGTAGCAAAGGTTTAATTCCTAAGGACGTTCTACTAGTACTAACCACTGATTGATCGCTTGTATATACACTGGCTTTTGTCAGGTTTTTCCGAACCACTAACAGCCCGCTGGAGTTCTTTCTCTCTATGGATCAATCGTGTTTCAGTGTCTTCGAGATTTTTCTGTAGCTGTTTGTTCCAGTTTAGCAGCTTTTTTACTTCATCCCGTTCATTTAATTTTTCTGGGATTTCAAACTTTTCATCTTCAAAAAAAATAAAAATCCAGTAAAAAATTATAAAACCAGTTCAGACATTTGCCATTTAAACTGCGGATTGTTCAAAGGTATGTGAGTTTTAAAAGAATTAAACCGTTAAAGACATAATGCACGAGAAAAGAAGTTTAACACATTTAATTTGTATCAATATTCACTCACATATGCTTACTATCCTACAAAAAACACACTTGTACAGAACATTTCTCCCCTTTCATAATTAAAACATAAAAAAAATGTATTTACCCCCGCCCCTGTCCACTTCCTACCCCATTCCCACTCGCGCACCTTTAATTCCACTTCTTTTAGAACACAAAAATGTTTAAATGTTCAAAAGTCAGATGATAAAAGAAAATATTCTCCTGCTCGTGTCTACAAATAATGATCATTTAGGTTATAACATTAAGAAGCAAGACTACAATGATCGAACCGGAGAAAGGAACAGATTGAAAAGGTTTCAATTCACAACCTAAAACTATTGGGTATGTAAAAGTTTTGCCCTCGTATAGTGATTTTCTTTCGTCAACTCTGTAATTCTGTCTTGACTTAACTTCAGCTGGCTACAGGTCAATGAATGACAACACGTTTTATAAAGTTCTACAATTTATAATGTACCAAACGAAACAGTGAAGTAAATTAAACATGATGAATAGATAAACCCAATGCTACAGCACGTCAACCACTCGACCGGACCATACTAAAACAGTATACCGTGTAACATATGTCCTCTCAAAAATGTCTACCCGGTATCCCACCCCGGGGAATAAGTTTAAACCCAACCCGATAATATATTACAACATGCCTACAACGGGAAAATAACCATCCCAAATTAACACCGAGATACTTCTACCCAAACATGCCTACAATGGGAAAATACCACCCTGCCCGGAATAATTTTGAGGTGTAAGGCCGAAATATACTCCTACATACTTGCCCGTAAGAAGGGTAAAGACGAGCCGGCCAGCTACATGTAAGCCTCTGCCAGACTGATTTACAATACCAAAAACACCCAGTTATATAGCCAAATTTAATTGTATGCCTTGAAATGCACGTGCCATGTAGTATTTGAAATACACATGCAATGTAGTATTTGAACTCGATACTGACCCATACCTGAGCGAAGAGTGCTGTACAGGTCAGGTAACATATCCTAAAAATATTAACCAATCAGATGAAACGTCTAAATAATATACCGGAAGGGAATCCCCAACAGGAATACCCCAGGTACACGCACTCCGTTACGCGAAACGTAAATACGGAAATATATACAACAAGTAAGTGTTCAAAACCCAATCCTTTTACAGGTATATAAAGATCATAAAATGTCGTTAGCGTGACTAGAGGTCACTTGTAATATTACAGCATATGCCCCCCCCCCCCCCAAAAAAAAATATCCAAATCCACCGCCACCGCCACCCCCTGTTGCAATAGTACCTTTGATTCTGATTTTGAATTCGCCGATGAAAACACAATCGACGTCACACTGTTGAAGAAGCCCTTTCTCCTCTGACGTGAGATCCTTGAGGATGGCCACTGCACTGTTCGGTATGAGGAAGGTGACTACAATGCTGTGGAAAGGTTGTACTCCGTTCAAGAAAATGGTCGCCTCTGGTGTAACGAGGAGCTTTGCCAGGAGTCCCTGAAGTTTCTGGATCTGTCGGCGGTCTGTCGCGACTCCAGAGATATGGAAGCTTACAGGCGAGCGCTCTGTGTCACCTAAATAGTACGTGTTAAAATTAACAATACATAACATATGTGTCTAGCTACTGGCTATAGTCTACCTGACTAAGTCCTATGTAAAACGCTAGAGTGTAATGTACATCTTTATAGAAAATATACAGATGATTTACATATATCTTCATATGCAGTGTGTTGTTAGTGATACATTTTATATTCGAGCCGTCTTACAGAAGATATATTTTATATATTTGATATTTCTTTTCATCACAATTACCTTCATCAATGTCGTTAGAGAAAAAGTGTAGAGGAGCCCTGTCACATTGCCTTGCAAACTTCACAAATATTTTATTCAAATCTGTTTTTCCAAGATTCCATAATAAAGCCTGGACGTGAAGCAGATTATTCCTGTCAAGGCGCCTTGAACGCTTCATGTGATCGAAAAATTGCAGAGGAGTTGTGATTATTTCCTGGACCCGGCGACCTAATCCGCATTCTCCTGGAACGGTTTTATAATGTTCAAATATAGATGGAATACATTGATTTTTATGAGGTTTTTTTTAATCGCTATGTTTTCTGTGTTATCATATTGCATTCCAGAATATCAGATAGTATCAGATAACGAACCTTATATACACATTTAATGACGTATAAATGAAAATAATTTAATTTGTCAATTAGCTTTACCGAAAGGAAATCTATTGAAACACATAACACGCTTCTACCTATATCACTTCAACTACCAAACCATCCTTAATGCATACCTGAATAGACAAACTTCATCCTGTCTAAATCCTTGTCGGTGAGTTTCTGTGCAATCTTATCTAGGGTAACATTGAGCTCGTAGTCTAGAGGAAGGTCATGTTCGTCATCTATCTCTGTCTCCGAGGCAGCATCCTTGCCTCGCACACTGTCGTTACTCCCGGTAATGGAGGTTGCCACTGCACGAAATAAATCCCTTCCAGTTTAGGCCTATTACTGTTTTTGGTGTATTGTTATAGGGTATCATATATAATATATTACATATCCAGATTAAATAGCATCTGCGTTATTCAGTGTTTATGTTCGTGTATTTTTATTATGTTCAACTATAATTATATGATTTTCGTTTTCAGATACTTGGATTCAGTAGTGCACAAATAAGTTTATATTTAGGAGAACATGTAATTTACTCATTGTTGCTATCGTCTAGTTTATCCAATCTTATCTTTAATACTAAAGTATACTTAATAAAGGCTATTTTTTCTTATTTTTTTCAATATCAATTAACTATGAGGATTTGTTTTTATTCTTACGCAATTTTGTTTACTATAATTGTTGTTTAAAATCAAAAGATAAGGCATACATTGATGTCCGATCCGTTTGACTTTCATTACATTAATGAAAGTTCAAAAGTGAAACCATGTGAACTGAAACAAAGACTTTATCGGAGACACACATCATATTACAAGCTTACTTTTGATGTGATCAGCAGGGATTATTCCATCGTCGGAAAGGTGTAGTTTCCCTCATCAGGTTGATGATGATTTGTCCTGCTACGCTTAGAATTTGTTAATTAATATGTGAATAATATCCAATCATAGATATAATTAAGTCCTTGGGTCGAGTAAGTGGGTTTAATTATGCGTCATTTATCAAATTTTAATAAAGATATTCAAATATCTAATATCAGTTAAACTATTTATAAATAAGACCACTAGCAGTAATTTATGACTAACCTATTACATCATAAGTCATAAAAACTGATCCATAAATATTATATAATCACCACTCGTGCATGGTTTAATACAAATATGTTAATCACTTGAATTATGTAGACTCTGTATGATATATATACTAGTATATATATGAAAATACCAGCATCGAATTAGACAAAGCTTCAACTGACTGCAAATAAGTAGTTCTCAGAAAAGGTTAACTCAATATGGAATGTTCTTTTACCACTATTTACTTCCTTGTCAGTCAATTTACCATTTTTATAACGATAAACAATAACCGATTATTGTATGAACATTATTTGTATGGTGTATATAGAGACTTCAGTGATCACACTTACCGTTGTATTAATGCAGTCTTATTCTGAATGTCGATAGATTATGATTTTTTTTTATACAATTATTGTTTCCGAAGTTGGTAATAAGTCCAAATATGTGTATTTCAGCCAATGGTTATTTGAAACACCTCGGGTATATTGTTTCGTTCGGAACACCTCGCCCTGTTTACAGTTCCTTCCATTATAGAATCTATATGTGCAGAATGTTTTGCTGGTAGTCTAGGTCACCTAGTGTATGTGCACCTATCCACAATCACATACGACTCAGTGACCTTGACAAGATACCTAGCTGATAGTGTATACTCGTATCGGGCAATTTTTGTTTGAATTTATAATAAGATTTTATCATATTTTCCCCCGATAAGATATTGGATTCTATCAAGTTGATAAAACTGATATATTTCCCTGTTACAGATATCAAAATATATACCTGTGGCTGTGCATAAATATAATTATATCCGGAACAGTTTAGTAACACGACTTTATAATGTGCGCAAGCCTCCTCCTTTCAGTTTGAAAACCTGCTTTAATAGGAATCAAGTATTTATCTAGGATTCGCAGTTTAACGTTTAAGCCACCCAAAAGCGCTTTACAGTGCATACATATAAGATTAATACAATAAGCATATACATTAATCAGTACAATTTTATACATTTTTTTTGAGGAATTCACAGGAGCTGTCAGGCGCTAACTACTAGTCCTATGTCACCTAGCTTTAGCTGATATGTCACCCAGCATGTGTAATGGAATTGTGTTGTTTTGTGTTCCGTTTGCTTCCAAGGGCATTTTTTTATAGTGCCACCTCACTTGAATGCTACAGCACAGATACCGCAACATCCACCCCAGATCATGTAAAGCGTTGTTTGCTTTGGATGTGGTTCATTTGTGTTTTGTTATAAATGATACCATTGGTTTGACTGATTTATCTGATTTGCGTTTTAATTGATGTATGTTCTGGATGTTATTTCAATCAGTGCTTAAATGACATTTTGGAGCTCTATGGTATTTGACCATCATCTTCAAAGATATATGTTATGCTTTATATTTCTACTAGGGTTGTCAACGGTTCGCCGGTTATTCGGTTACCAAAATCAATTACCGATTAACCTGAAATTTTACTTACCCCTTTGGGGAGCCCAAAATGTCGGACTTAGACCTACAAATTATCTATAGATGCGACCAAAATTGGATAGTTCTGTTATAAATCAGTGTTCTGACCCACACGTTTGCGTTGTTTTTGTTCTCCATTGTAAAAATTGACAAAGAGATGCCGCCAACACCATACAACCCTGAACACATATTAAACGGAAGCCAGAATACAAAGTTGGGAAATATGAAATATGTTTTTTAAAAACATGCTTCCTCATTCAAGTGTGTACTCTTCAGATTATATTTTTTTTCTGAAGGACAATACTTCCACATTTGATCTCGAGTACATATAATTGTAATTGAATTCCGCCTTATTGTATTCATACATGTGTTGTCCATGAAATAATCTTACTGAGAATACATCTGTACATGAAATTATTTCCTGCGTTTAGCTTGAAATACACTAGTAAACTATCATGCTAATTAATATAAACGTGTATGTTTGTGGTGTAAATAAGGTTTAAATAGAACATTTGCTAAACATATAACGTGTTTCTCGAGTAACCTGTTACCAAACTTTTACCGGTTTGACAACCCTATTTTCTACCAATGATTTGTTGACACCTATCTACGTGGATTCGTTGGCTTGTTTCAACTCATCTTCCGCTTTGGTTATTGAGTCTTTTTGCCATTTCAGTCTGTAATCTTTTATAAGATTTTCTCATTCAGTGTTCAACATGAAAACATATACTTACAATACACATCTATGGAAACAAGACATACCAAGATGGGGCCTGACACAACTTTATAGAATTCAGTTGTATTTTTATTCATTCCGTTGACGAAATTGTCCTTTATCCAACTTTATGTTTAACCGTTTTATCAAAGACGAATGACCTGAGGTTCACCAATTGCATCCGACACCATCACTGCATGATGTATTTTACTATGTCTCGTTTATTGAGTCTTCATTTCTCCGGTGACACTTAACACTATCTTTTCAACAAGCCCAGTTTCACATTTCTATTTTAGGGTATCAATTAATTTGTTCATAGTGACCTCGCTATTATCTGTTCTTTCACCCGTGGAAAATCTATTTTCCCGCACCATGAATCACTGTAACCACTGTATTGGCCATTTTTATTTCGAACTTTTAATCAGCTCCATGAAGTCGTGTTTTCGCACAGGGGAAGGTCGTATTGTGATACCCTGTTCGGAAATCTGATCTTGATTCGATGTTTGTGGTTTGATGTTTCAAGCTGACATTGACGTCTCTTTGTCTGTGGTATGTATACCAAACTAACTATAAATGATTGTGGGACTAGGAATGTATCTTTAATTTGCGTAAATAAAAACATTTGATGAAAGTATTGACTAAATATGTATGCTTAAGTTGCGTCAATAGTAACCTTGTGTTGTAAGTAGGAACTAAAAACGATGTTTGATAGGTATAAAGCTTAACCCTGTGTTGTAAGTAGGAACTAAACACGATGTTTGATAGGTATAAAGCTTAACCCTGTGTTGTAAGTAGAAACTAAACACGATGTTTGATAGGTATAAAGCTTAACCCTGTGTTGAAAGTAGGAACTAAACACGATGTTTGATAGGTATAAAGTTTAACCCTGTGTTGTAAGTAGGAACTAAACATGATGTTTGATAGATATAAAGCTTAACCCTGTGTTGTAAGTAGGAACTAAACACGATGTTTGATAGGCATAAAGTTAACCCTGTGTTGAAAGTAGGAACTAAACACGATGTTTGATAGGTATAAAGTTAACCCTGTGTTGAAAGTAGGAGCATAGCAACTGGAACTTTGAGAATTTCATATTGACAGTAAAGCAAAGTGCATGGAAACTCAATGCTGTTCAAATACGTGTTGAAACTATGGTCACATCCAAATTTGTATAAGTTTGATTTTATTTCACTGCTACTATCTAATAAGATTTAGAAAGTGCATAATTCTATCGAATTCTCTTCTTGTTTTTTTGTGGTTTAATGAGCGGCAACGTAAACATTCTTCGATTTTATAGATTATTCTTGAATATTGTACTGTAAGTAGACTGATGTTGGCTTGTTAATGAACAACGCTCCAAAAAGATTAATATGGAAACTGGAATCATAAAAGAGGGTTAAAAGTTATTTATATAGCATGAGGGTGGACCAATTTTGAGGGGGATGATTATCCTATTCTTAAACAAACGAAAACGGTATTTGTCTAATTTAAAATTTACCTACCAGTATAACAATTTTTTCACCTCATTACTACTCTATGACGTCAGTGTCACGATCGGAACTTTTCTTCCCTCAAAGGAAACATCCGAGCAGCTGGATTCTCTTGTTAGATAAGTCCTGTTGACCAATACGTAGACATGGTTTCTTCCGGACAGGTATCCATATAAGGTGAAGAATCAGGTTACCATCGTATTTAGGACCTTGCTGCCCAGCAATGAGATTTCTAACTTCCTCATTAATTGTCTATCACAATGTGTTAGCTGTGCATTATATCTTACAATCGTATTTAGGACCTTGTTGTCCAACAATGGAGCTGTCAGACTAATGCATTAAATGTATGCCAGAACTTGATAGATGTGCATTATATCTAACACTCGTATTTAGGGCCTTGCTGCCCAGCAATGAGATTTCAGACTAACTCATTAATTGTATGCCAGAACCTGTGAGCTATGCATTATATAAAGGGTTACCCACACATAACCTGTCTTTAACAGGGAATATCCTTTTTGCGATCTTGGCATTTCTTCTGTTCCCGTTGTTAATATTTGTATCTGTTTTTGATTTCTATTTTGTGTGTTGTCGTTGCAGAAAACCATTCTATCTTATTTCATTTTCCTTGTAATAAAACCAAATGAGTGATAAAAACCGTTTCTGGTAAGCATATAGCATATTTGTAGTTGAGGACATATCACTAGTTACCTCCCTTTGAACATTCACAGTTTTATATAAGACTATTGACTGTCGGACTAGAACCCCACGTTTGAAATTAGTCATTTCATGTAAAACTTCTCTCTACAAGATACATGTATGCTACTCCATGTAATGCTATAGTGGTAATATTTCAGTTCTTTAATTATAATTCTCATCGGTTGTTTACTGTCCTTTAATGTAACATCTTTTCAAATAGAAAGCAACATTTCAAATAGAAAATAACTTTGTTAAAATCAGATTTGAAGATAAATAAAAAAAGATACCTGTCGATACCTTGTTAAATCTTTTGTAAGTATTTTGTTAGGGACGGGCGGTCTATTGAAACGTTGGTTACGCAACCGAATGCTCAGAATTATTATGAAAATTCTTAAATTCTTATGCATTGATATTGGAATGAGTGGATTCCACAAATTCCTGTTTCAAGTAACCGGAAAATTATTTTATAAGAATACGTCAGGATTAAGAGGTATCCATATTTGATATTAACCTCTGTACGAAAATTTCACTTTACCACTACGTGTTTCATTGAAACATTGACACATTGCGATGTAATAAAACCTCTGGAGTGGATTGCATTCTCAATGTTTTGTGTTTAAGCCTGTCTGTAGCTGGCAGCTGATTCAGTAATACTGGTATGACGTCTCTGAAAGCCATTAATCTCATGTAAAGATCATCAACAGTGTAAGGGCCGCGAAAAGGTTTCGGGAAAATATCACTCGCGCTTCGTCGCAACATAGCTGTCCCGGCCTTTGGGGTGGACATTGCCGTCGGGTGGTCAAGGTCATGATGATCGACATTTTCCTCATGCGTTGTAGATGCTGTGGCATCGAAGCAGTGGTTGACGTGTTCCACGTCGCTGCTTCCACCAGCTTCTAGTTTCTCGATCAGGTATTGTTTTAAGTCTGCAACATAGCATTATGAACATATAGACGGTACAATGATGTCTCATTCCAGGAAGTATACATTTCTCACCATAACATCCTTTATCGTTTTTCATACGTTTCGAGCAGATCTTCACTAAATAAAACTCATTCAGTCAAAGTATTTCTGGTAGAAGAGATGACAAGGCACACTATAAGTCTCTTTTTATTTTTTTAAAGAACTAAATCTTTGAAAAATCAACATGAGCAAATACTTGTACTTCTATTTTTTCCTCGTATGTATATATAAATATGAATGATAATTTGCCAGGCATATATCATAATACTACCATGCAATGTTCAATCCACATCTTTATTTTAAATATTCGCTTATTTCGTGAGGTGGTGATGACAATCACCAGCCAACTGTTCGCAAGGTGAGGAAAGTTTTCAACTCTGTGTCAATACTCAAAAACACTTATTGTTTCCTGGCATCATCAAATCATTTTTTTTTTCAAAATTGGCAACAATCAAATTATACCTTTTCCTTCTAGAAGTGGTTCCTTCCCAATGATAAGTCCAAGAAATTCTTGGGGAGATTTCTTTAAAACATTTTCTTCCTCCTCTGACAAAGCAATACTCCCCCTGAATGCAGCTCTTTGTTCATCGTTTAATCCCATCGATAACTCCCTGAGGACTGCATCCTGTCCGGAAACGCAGGAAGCCATTGATTGGCCTAAAGAAAAAGAAGGAAATAATATCACACCTTACAGAACACATCAGTTTACACCTTTTTGTATAACGGTAACGTAATTGTTTGGCTTTATACATATCCAGGTGTTTCCCTTATTCGTGTTTCTAATGAGTGTAGAGAAGATATGAACATCGTATTAAAGACAATGAAGAAAAGGAAAAGGGATGTAATTTTGGTAACAAATGGTACTGATGAAAATGTTTAGATTAGGTATAATACATTGTTCCTACATATTATATTGGCATATAATAGAATATCATAAGTGCTAATGCGATATTGAACACTGATAACATAGAACCCTAACTTCTGTGGTAAAAGTAACATTAAAATCAAACATTGAACTGTTTATAATTTATTTATTTATTTATTAACACCTTATTTGTAATTCAGAAATATTATTCAATCGATTTTCAGATAACTGATGACAACTTATGCTCTCTTCTTTATCAACGAACCTGGAGTAGAAGGCTCCGATGGTAGATGATCGTTTGACCAGTAATCAGGATCGGTGTCACACTGTAAGTACAGTTCATAGAAATCACCATGTAGTTGTCTATACAGCGCCTCATACTCTGTCACCATGACGTTGATGTAGAGGCTCCATGTACTCTCCTGTGTTTGCTTAACAACAACACTCTGGACTTTCAACAGCTCGTGCAGTTCATGAGAGCATCTGGGATATTTTCCATCGAATTCCTTGATTTTTTCAGCAAGTACTGTTTCTTTGTCAAAGTCGATATGAGTTTGAACTTGCCTACCATTCATAGGTATTGTCAATACCTCGCGAAAAGTGTCGTTCATTTGCTGCAAATCATCTTTCAATTTTTCAACTTTCCTTTCCTCTTCAGAAATGTCTAAAAGATGACTTTCTACTTCTTTCCCGAGTGTCCTGTTTCGGTTTATAAGTTTAATAACTTCATCTCGTTCACTAAGCATTGCAGGGATGTCCGATTTCTCATCTGAAAGAAAGCATAGTCCAGTGCAATAAAGGAGTGTGATATGTTAAATATACGACAATAAAGGAGTGTGATATGTTAAATATACGACAATAAAGGAGTGTGATATGTAGAAAAAGGCAATAAGAAAGGGACAAGCATAGACAACCCATCCCACATGATCAAAGCGTGATTTCAGTAATACTATCCAACAATCATGTGCCATATTTTCTCTCATTTCCCAGACCTAGGTTTCACGTCGAATCGAAAGCACAAGCAAATGTTGTACATAACAAATTGGAAATTAATCAGCCTATGTGAGAGTAATAGAAACAATATCAAAACGTCACCTGTTATATATTTATTTGTTATTTATTTGTGATGTAAGAGATTTCGGC